TTTATACATAACCATGCGAGGGGTACGCAACGGTACATTTTGAAGCAAAATCACACCCAACTGTAAAACCGAAACACTAGAACTACCTAAAAATAACTAAACCGAACCACAACATAGAAAAAAATTGAACTGAAATCGAACAAAAATTTTATTACACCAAAATAATCAAATCGAACTACACCAAAAAAATGCACGGTTCTTGGTTTTGCCTCGGTATTTATTTACATTTATATTTAATTTGGTGTGGTTCGCTGCAAAACCACACCAAAACAAAACAAAAAAAAAAATTTGAAATTGTAAAGAATAATAACCAAACCGTAGCATAGAAAAAATTCGAACCAAAACCGAACTTTAATTTTCCACACTAAAAAAATTGAACCGAACAGCAACATCGATGAGCTCAATTTTTCAGTTTGGGTTTGATTTTGCTCACCCTATACTTATTTCTCAACCACACTAATTTTATTTATTTATAAATAACCATACCAACTATGCGTTTTTGTGAAGTTGACCTCTCAAACCAATTTTTTAATGTCTTGTTGATATAGTGGTATTATGAGGGTATACTCAGTCAGCACAATCGCAAACGTGCAGCCCCAATCCCTAAACCCAGTTCAGACTTTGGTATTGTTAACATTTGAAGAAAAATGAAAAACATAAAGGATGAAGAAAACGTTGAAATGGCCTACGGCGTGGCATTGCCACTCCCAAGCTCAAACGGAATACAACATTAACACACAATTAACGACTAACAAAGTCAGACTCGACTCGACTCGATTCGACTCGTTTAAACAATGAATTATTAGTGATCAACATGAAATGGAAAGAAAAAAGAGAGAAAAAGCCACAAACACGCACACACGCCATAATCACTAGCAACTCAAGATGATGAATGCTCTAAATCATCCTTTCCATCACAAGAAACCAACATTTTGAAATTCTTTTCGAAGATCTCTAAGTCGTCGTTCGTCATGCTGACCCAAGCTTCAATCCCCTTACCCGTATGATCATCACCCTCTAACCTGTTCATGTCCATCAAAATCGCACCATTCTTCGACGGCAAGGCCGTCGTGCCCACCCGAACGGGCCTTCCCCACCCAAAATCCACCTCGTAAAACGGAAACCCGCACCAACTCGTGAACAAAAACCCCTCTACTTCTCCCTTGACGAGCTTAGACATACACCCTCGAACGTCCCCCATGTACACGTCCCCATCCTTTTCCGATCCCCTGATGTAGCCCTCGTCAACCTTCCGTATCGACTCCCTCAACTTCCCAACGAGCTCGCAAAACTCCCGACCGGCCGTGCAATACGCGAACGACGTCATGAAGCAGTTCCCAAACTTGTTTTCAAGACTTTTCTTCCTCGACCTCAGGTCCACCCTGTGTGTCGCCACGAAAACCTTTTCATCGTCCTTCTCGTTAGCCCTCATGAAGCTCTCCCATATAAAAGCCGACACGAGCACTATCGCCGAGCCGCCGCTGCTGCCCGCCGCTCGCCGGAGGGCCGCTAGTTTCGCCTCGTCGAACGCGAACCTCACGGTTCGGAACCTCTCGCCACCGCCGGAAACTGGGAGNAGAAGTCTGTGGGGCCCGCGGGGAGGTAGCGCTCGACGGAGTCCGGGTCCCGAGCGGCTTCGTCGAGGCGGAGGCCGGTGACCCGAGCGAAGCAGAGCTCGGCACCGGCGTCGTTGCAGTCGACGGTGGAGAAGTCGCGGCTTCTCCCGGCGAACGGGTAGAAGGAGGTTAAGGTTTCGGAGAGGGATTGGGTGAGGCGTTGAGAGGTTCGGTCGAGTTCGTCGTCATTCGGGATCGCTCGGTTTTCGTTGGCAGAGTAGAAGAAGACGAGAGGGACGTGGTACGAGTAGCAGAGTTGGTCGAGGTAGGAGAGTTTGAGGGTTTGGAGGTGTGGAGGGGTTGGGGAGGAGGGCTTCACCATCTCCTTAGAGATGATTTCTACAACAATAGGGTTTTGCTCCATTTTTTTTTTTTTAAAGTAATTGGGTTTCACTATATGTTTCAGCGTGAATTTGGAGGAAAGTTGTGTGTAGATGTAGAGATTTATATAGCAAAGGATATTGGTTTTTTGTTTGTATACGAATGGTATTGTTTGGACTGGGTTTGGGGTTCTTATATATGGAAGTATGGAACCACCATGACATGAAACCTTAGGGCTAGAGATGTCCACCAACACAATTGGTCAATAACGTTAGGTAATTATTATAATTGATCGGATTGTGTCAACAAATTATTTGGCTCCATAAAGAAGTACTATGTGAATGACCATAAATTTGATCAAAAAATACTATATTTGTTCTGACAAGTTAATATACAAACCTAAAATTTGATATGGATTTATGTGTTCATGAATTTGCATTTAAATAATATAGGCCTTATTTGATACTACTTCTGTTTCTTTTTAGATGTACTTATAGGACGTCAACTTTTTTGCAAATTAGTTAGTCGTTACAAATATTATATTCATTCTTACAATTTTATTCTCTTTAACAAACTTTATCTCTTATCATTATCTTTAAAAACTACCCATTAATAATTTAAAAACTAAACTTAATAAAATTAAAATATAAGAATATTACACAACCCATTAAAATCGTAATTTAAAAGTTTTAAATTAAAACGACATCTAAAAAAAACAAAAGGAGTAGTAAACAATTGTAGCAGATACGTAATTAAATTAGGAATTGTAGCTAACTAATTGGATTACCTGATTATGCATAATAATTTGGTAAATAGAAATAGATAATGGTTGGTAAGTAAAAGTAACATATAGTACATAAGGTTATCGTTTATATGATTATTAGCTGATAATAAATAAGTGATATTATCTGATACATGATAATTTATAAGTCATTTATAATATGTTTTGGAAACCTTAGGCTGTATTGTTTTTAATAAATCAAACTATTCAAATTAACTCTTCACCAAATAGTTACTTAAAAAGATTTTTATGGATCGATTCTCCAAATATGTTTCAATTGCTACTATAAAGAACCCACCAATAACCAGACGAGACCATGTGTTGCTTTTTTAAATTCATTTTTTAATCGAAAATGCTAATTCAAAATACAATTTACAATTGACAAAAAAAAAAAAAATACAATTTACCAAACAAGGAATTTAGATATTCTATTTGCAGACTACTTTTATGGGTGACCCTAAAGAGTGGGTCACCGATTAAAAATCCAAAAATATAAAAATAAAAAAGAAAAGCAATAGGTTGTGCAACCGAGGTCATAATGTGACCAAGGTTGTAACCGGTTGCTTTTTAAAAGTAGACACTTGTCCCTTTTTTATTAGTGAAATATAATTTTTTTTTAAAAAAATAAATACTAAAATTTATATTTTTTTATTCTCTACAAATAGAGACCACACTTGATATATTTTGGAATACAATTATATTTTTTAGATAAATTAAAATAAAATAAATATTTAGGTTGAGTTGGATTGAGGATAAAGATAAATTTAATTGTAAAATTGAGTTGTGTAGGTGAAAGAGAGAGAAATAATTTTTAATTATTAGATTGAGTTGAGTTGAGAATAAGGATAGTATTACACACCTTCAAACCTCCACCTTCGCACCAAAACATTACCAACCAAAGCATGATACAATATGAACTTTTAAGGGTTCACTCCATTAAAACTATCAAAATATTATTTTTACGCTTTTAGCACATGCTTACTATAATTGAGAATGAATTGCATTATTATAATGACACCAGGTTTGGGTCAAAAGTTGACCTTTAATTAAGAAACCCCTTTTCTAGTTGTTTTTTTCTTTTTTCAGTTAAATGTGTACAACTCTTTTGGCAGTTTTGAAAAGAAAAAAAAAATAATAATAACCATACGTAAGGCATGGCTCAAATTAAATAAGATAATGACATCCGTAAGATCCTGCAATAATTCAATACCTTCCGGGTGGGTTTGGTTGCTAAAGGGTGAGTGTGCATAATATAATATTCTTGATAACATCAAAGGCTATCCATCAAATCAGTTATTCCATTAACTTGTTTGGTTAATGTTTGGTAATTATACTTTTAGGTTTAAAACTACTTTTCTACCCTTCATTCAAAATTCAATTTTCAAAATTTGCCCTCAACACAATAACATAATTATTGTTTCATTGCATTCATCTACCGTCATCATCTTCATAGCATCCTGTCGCCGACCTTTCCGCCGTCGACCTCCACCGCCGCTAGCTTTCACTATGAAAATCCACCCAAACCTAACCCCAATTCCCTCAACCTCAGCCCCAATCCCCGACCCCGCCCTACACCAAATTTCTTGTGAAAATTACAAGACCACCCAACTTTAGCCCCAATCCCTCGCCCCTCCCTACACCAATTATTTTCTGCACAGCACCCAACTTCAACCATAATCCACTGACCCTTTCAATTTTTCATTGTACAGATTAGATGAAGAAGAAGAAGGAAAGGGGGGTTGGGTTATCTTGGTGCCGACACATTCACGTTTGCGAAAAAGAGGAGAGGAAATGAATGTTATTTTGTAAATTTAAATAAAAAATGGAGATGAAATGATGGATTACACATCCCAACTCCTAAGTGGGATATGGTATCAACAAGTTGCTTTATTAAATGTTGGGCCATTACCTTTTTCATGGGCTTTTCATGTTTGTACCAAACATAATAATAAGAAGGAAATAGTATGAAATGAGGTGATGTCACCCCCTATCAAGCCTACCAAACACACCAGAATACAAAATATCTGAGTAAGCGTCAAATATGGGGCTGAGGATGAGCCCCCCAAACAAAAAGTCTTAAAACAAATTTTGAAGAGGGAACTTAAAACTGTTTTCATTTTTCAATGGCCTTTTGTTGGTGGGTAAAACCTTGACAAAGTCCTACATTTGTGTTATTTCCTTGGAAAATATATACATAAAACTTAGTTTTTTTTTTTTTTNTTTTTTTTTTTAAGGATAAATAAGATATTAAGAAATAAAGAAGACTTCGGATATATTGAAGAATTTGATACAGATTCTACTGCACAGCTGCTAAAAATAGTGCCAATTACCAAATAAATTTGAGTATAGCTAGCTTATAAATTGCATTATTATAGAGCAATAAGCTGGACTAAGAGGGGAAAGGTTGACCCGATCAAATTCAAACAACTAGAGCATGATTGGATATAAATCCAACTCAAAAAATCCAATCATTTTTAACTCAACCACTTTTTTTAACTCAACTTTAACTCAACCCCTCTATCATCAATATTATCAATATAATTAAATAATATCAATCAATCATTCTTACACACAACATCGACCTTAATTCACTATTCATCAACTCACATAATTTTAACTAACCATCACCTCACATCTTTTCTCTCCTACTTTTACATCATTTAATTTTAATCATTTTATTTTAAATATTATTTTAACATATACCCACTAACAACTAACCATACCAACTTTTTCAAATTTAACCAACCCAAACCAAAAATTCAATCACAACAAAAAAAATTTATATCCAATCATGCTCCAATTTTTAGTCAGAAGGTACTGCATGCATTTTATAACAAATAACTGATTATTAAACCGCATATGGAGACCAGCATGTTCAATAAACTATTAGTTTAACTGTTCATAAGCCTGAAGTCAATGAATGTGCTTCGCAGCAATTCGAATATGCATTTTAACGAACAGTTATCCAACAACAGAAGCTAAAAACAACAGACAATTTAAGTTTTCTTTATTACTGGTTCGACCAGCATCACTCATAACAAACAATCCACAATGAAAAGAAAAAACAATTCAGAAGTAGTTGCTTTTATAGAAGTTTTTAAGGAAATCAGATGCACCCTGGTCCTTGGTTTCAAGATCTTGGGATAAGCCATCACGACCTAAGACATATTGGCCAAGAATGTGGTGCCGCTGTTTTGCGTGCTCGACAATGTTGCTCAATTCCTCTGTTCCCTTGAACAAAAGCATATCAATGACCTGAAAAGACGACGATCATCTTGAGATGAAGAAATGTTGTTGATCCAAAACAAATTAAACTACTTTTAATAGTTGAGTTTTATGATTCGGTCAACAAGTAGCTGCATCATATGATAAAGAAAATAAACAGTTGTACGTTCTAGACTTTCTTTGGCCATGACAAACAAAACCATATTGTCAGAAAACACACAATTTCTAATTGCAGTTAGCATATCCCTAGTTAAGAGAACTATGTTTCACCACATCTGTCCAAATAGATCGTAAGCATGCACGGTATTGTCAAATCAACAGGGGCTTAGGTTTGAAAAGCAATTCTTACCCAATGAGATAAACGCTTTTCGAATGTGGAAACCATTTGTTCTATGTAGCTGGAACATATTAATAAAAAGTAGTTGCTTGACTTTCGACATGGCACAACATCAAGTAAAAACTAGCTAACCCCAGTTCTGTGCTATCTAGTAAGAGTACGATGAAACATGGGTAGGCCTCTTTGCGCCACAACCCAAAAGTTCACCCAATCATTCGAACAGTGTTTCCCTCTAACATAGTTTTGGTCTAGGTTTTTAAGGTTTAATAAGTGACTTGAACTAAGTTTATATGAGTCGAACTCAAGATCAAATGTTATTTGTTTGTTAAACGAGCTGAGAGCTGAGCCACAACAGCTCGTTTATTAAATGAGCGAGTTCGAACTTCAAATACTCGATTCGAAAAATCTAGCTAGACACACGTATAAAGAAATCAAAGTACGAAAATAATTTTTAAATCTAATATAAATTAAAAAGGGAATGTTGCATTTATAAAATAAAAATAATTATACTTTCTAACTAGTTGTGTGTTTTATACGCAGATGACTCTCCTTTGACAAAAACTTGTGAATTTTTAACTACTCTCATATACATATACATATGACAAATATTTATTTTTAATATTTTCATTATTTTTCCTCTAAAAATGTACAAAGATAAGTTTTTCATGCACATGAATTTTAATTAAAATACAACATAATTTATTAAAGAACAGTGTAATAGTCTCGTAATTCTTGTTATATGTCATGTCATTTAAAGTGCATATGTTTTGTAGTAAATATTCTATAATCAACTATCATTTATTTAAAAATTCAGTGAATATATAAACTTGATTGTGAAATCTATAAAATCAATTACATACTAAGTATTCTAATGAAAGTCTATACACAATCAAATAATGTCTTGAATAAGATTATTCTAATAAAATCTATTTAATCAAATATAAAAAATAAACACAAAAATAGCATAAAAGGGTCTAAAAAGAAAAGTGGAAAGAAATGTTCAAATATATAATTAACTGATTTAATGTAAAACAAATTTAACTTATTTTGGGTCAAAATAAGATTAATACTGGGATAATCCATGGTTACCAGTATAAAATTAACAAAGCCAAAAAATTAAGACCGGGCTGGAGCCCACCAAGCCTTTGGGATGGCTCCGCACCTAGTTAACGTAGATGATGAGAATTTTGGCACACTTTAAGATTTTTAGGAGATGGTGAAAGTGGTATCTTTCATCATGTTTAAGGAAGCTTTCCTCAAACATGAAACGGCTTACTAAAACCAGTTTTTCAGCATATGGAAAGTAGCTATAGGTAGTCTATTCACGTCCATTGTTAATTTAACATATGAGTTCACAAATTTCTGGAGGACACCGATTATTCATCGATGGAAAAAGCTACTTCGACACAAAAATTTGACATTCTTCACAAAATATCATGTGGGTGGTTAGTGGTTGACGGTTGTTGATTATAAAAGTGATGTACCAAATAACAAGATCGTATGTAATATGTCAAAGTTCACATCACCCTCTATCCTCTTTGTTACTGTAGCAATACTCATTCATTGCTTTAAAAATTTCAGCATCCAAAGCCAGACTCTTTTTGTGTGTACAGGGACTCCACAAGATATAATCTTTTCTTCTGAATGAAATATATAATCATGATATCAGATGTGTACCTGTGAAGTGTGAACCATGTAGCCTCCCTTCAAGTGAGTTTTAGCATGCAACTTTTAAGATAGAATATGATATGAAATGTAAACAGCAGATTTCGAGTAAGCCCAAGTCACTTCATAGGACCAGAGCCATAACAAAGAAAAATGGCTGGATGCCAGTGCCAAAGAATGTCCAACTAGAAAAAAAAAAATCGTAAAAAACTTCCATCTCATCTCAAATTAGCTTCTTCATCATGATACAGTTTACACAGAAAAATTGATAACGTGAATAAAAAAATTGATCATTCTTAATTTCTAGCCAAAACATCAAGACCAAGCAAACATCTGTCATTCAAATGATTTGGAAAATGGAAGTAAATGAGAAAACCTTGCCGAATGCTCTTCAGCTTATCCATCCAACACCAAACAGAAGCTAATTACAAACTTACAGGTTCCTTTGCATCCATCCAATACTTGGCATTTGGCAACGACTATCTACCTCTTACATGCAACTAAACTCTAGAAAATATTCCAAAAACTAACCAAATTTTGAGTGACAGTATCTCTATTTCCCACCCACACTCCTCAGAATTAGGTACATTCACAACAATAAACCAGAAATCGTAAAAGGAGGAGTAGAAATGGAGCGGACCTTGGGATTGGTGACGTGGGCATTCTTGCGGATCTCGGACGAGATGACGGAGCGGAGCTGGGAAGGAGAGGTGACGTCATCGAGGGTGTAGATTTCCATGATGGTGGGGATGGATCTGCAGGCGGTCTTGAAGAACTCGAACACCCGCTGCCGCGCCTCCGTCAGACTGGCCGAGTTCGGCGGGACGCGCACGTATTTCACCGATGACGCCATTTTTTGGTGGGGGTGAATTTTAATTTGAGCTCTGATTTTGATTTCTACCCCAATATACCACTGTGAGAAGGCTCGCTCCTCCTCTGCAGAAGAGATAATGGGGAAGGGATTGTTTGGCTAATACGACACCGTTTTTATTTAGGCTTTTAGTAAACTAATTGGTTTGGCTCTAACTCGTTTAAACTCCTAAAAGCTGGTTTAACAAATCTAAAATTGTAACGAGCTATACATGAACTCGATTTGTGTGTTGCAAACATGTTGCAGCTCAGCTATTCATTTGAAACCTATAAAAAGGATAAAACTATATCACGAACGAATTTGGCTTCACTCGACTCATTTAATAAACAAGTTCGATTAAATCTTGGAGCTCAACTTATTTAATTAAACAAACAAACCAAGCTCAATCTTCATGAATCACACTAAACTATTTTCTCTAACGGCTCAGATTCGAACACCACCTCTACCAATGACAGAAAATTCGACTATTTTTTTCATACTTCTTGTGAGAATATCGAGAAGCTTATATTTTTTATCGATGAACACTTTCTCACAAAAGTAAAGTAGTTGAATTAATACAACTCATGGCACAAAACTCTTCTGCGTAAAAATCAATCGCACAAAATATATCACAACCACCAAAACTACAAAACGTAACGCTGTTCCGCACATATAACACAGTTCACTTTTGCCGAGCACAAAAGCAAGGAAAGTCGATTCATTTGTCAGTCAAGATTGAAAATCTGTGCTGGCCACGTTCGTTTCTGACCATCGGGCCCAATTCCGGTGAGCTCCATGGAAATGTCTATGGTACGGTGTTGAGAAGCACGGACTATACTTAAACGAGACTGTATTCTTGCAGCAAGAAAATCGGTCCCACCACAGACAGCAGCCACCGGTTTATGTGGGCCCACCATTGCAATTGGTTCTCGGAAAGTGAGGACAGTCTGTGACCAGTGGGTGCTCGGATGATAAGGTGATGTGGATAAAATAACCGGCTTTTCACGACAAAATCTCTCTGTAAATCCAGTCTCGAACCACAAGACAAGCCCATGGCACCAAGTAACCTCCTCGTCTGGCTTTTTAGAGTTTGGCTCCAGTACAACTTCGGCTGTAAAATCTATTTGCTTGGGCTGCATGGTTACCAGGTCAAAGGACTGAAATGGGGAAAGAAGAAACATTCAGTAAGATTCCCGAAAATTGTATGAAAAGAAAAAAAATCAACCGAAAAGCAATAAATAGTCTCCATGAGCCATCAAGGCTATGCTTGGTAAACCTATAAGCTAGCTTATAGCTTTTAAGTGAATTTTGAGCTATAGCTGATAGCTTATGAGTTATGGCTGAAAAACTAGCTTATATAATAAAAGTGTTTAGTAAAATTAGCTGAAATAAAAATTTCAATGGGCTTATTTGAAAAGCTACCCAAGGAAGAAGCTTATGAAGCTCGAGCTTTTTAAAAAAACTTGTCCTACCAAATCAAGCTTATTTAAATATAGGAAGCTTATAAACTAATCAAATAAACTATAAGCTTAGCTTATATGCTTATCAAACACAACCCAAGCCAAAAATGGAAAAAAAAAATAAATTAAGATAAATAGTGTCAAAGTCAAACAGACTGTTCCGTCAATTGAAGCCAAAAATTAAACATTTTAGTTAAACTTTTTTGTCAATTCTTAGGGTTCTAAATTGAGATTTTCAGTTTCTATAGCTTTTTATAGGGTTTTTAATATCTCTAGGGGGTTCTAGATTTTATAATATTCAACTGAGAAACTACTTCCCTTTAGAAAAGAGATAAGAAACAAGTGCCAGGACAGTAGTTTTCTGATCCACCATTCTACGTCTTTTTGCTTACAGAAACAAAATTCTTATCTGTCAGCACCTTTCAACTTGACTAACACATAATTACATTTGAATTTAGTATGAAACTCTGACAAGAAATATAATGGTTTCTCTTCATAGAAATCCAAAAGCACAGTACCAGACACAAACCTGAAGGACTTCAGTGGTAGTGACAATATTGCAACTGTCAATCACATCAACAATAGGAAACCGAGCGGCATCCTCATCAATCTCCCGACCAATACATGACATATTAAAACCATACACATTCTCCCAGAATTTCAAACTGGAGGCCCCTCTTCCAAATCCAGCAACAAACTGCATACAAATATGAAAAAAAAATATATATATTATAACTTAGCCCAAAAAAAAAAAAAATTAAGTATCACTGTACCATAGTAGCCGTGTCTGGGAGAATGGCGCCTCCAGGTTTCAACCACTTATCCCGTGCAAAGAGTACAGATGTGAGCATTGATTCATAAAGAAGGCAATAACCCATCCACTCGCTGAATAACACATCCACACTCTGAGGTCGGATTTGGTCAGCATCTTCTAGTTCTTCAACCATGCCTTGAACAACTTCAATAACACAATTTTTTTTACTGCTTTCACTGCTTATTTCGTTTCGCAGAAGGCCATTGTCTTTTGCAATCTGCACGAACTTGAATTTTTTATCAATCAGAAAGATCCAACTACAAAAGGCATACAGATATATATACATCACAATAACCTATAATACTGAAGTTTAATATTTGATCAGACTAAAGTTAACCTGGGTAGCCACTGCAGCCATCTTCTCGCTGGCTTCGATTGCGATAACCCTCGAAGCTCCTGCTTGGGCTGCAAATAGGCTAGTAAACGAAAGGGCGATCTCAGCCACAAAAAGTCACCGTAATTACTTCATCTTTAGTACAATTTCAGGGAGAGTAATTATACTAAAAGAAAAAACATGGGGAGTTTTGCTTTGCGGAAAAACAGTAAAAGTTATAATCTATAGTGAGATTTGTATCATCGATGATATCAAATAAAATCAGACATAATGAAGAGTACTATTGCACCTTAGAATGCCAGTCCCACAACCAACATCCATAACAACTGCATTTCTCATAAGAGAAGGATTTTCTAGAATAGCTTGTCTGTAGGCATCTGTTCTCACCTGCATATTTGACATGAATCATCAGGAACTAAGAAAGTGTCAGCATACATATCAAGATTCCATAATTCAAACTTTAACTGCGACAGTACCTTGTCACTGATCATCTCTCTGTGAATGCCGAAAGAGCTATACGAGTTAAAATAATTTTTGTTGATATTTTTAATTTGATCTGAAGCTATCTTTATTGAAGACTTGACATTCGTCTCGTTTTTCCTATTCCTACAGGGCAAAGAGGCCTCAGCTGTTGTACATCCTTTATCAACTATCAGACCTTCTAAAGGCTTTGCAGTAACATTTCCCCCATTTTCACAAGGAATTACAAGCTCAGAAGCACTTATATCTGAAGTACCCTCATCACGCATATCAATAGGCTCAATTTGAGAAATATATGATTCTAGTTCCTCCCGGTCAAGAGGCAATGCATCCTCCTCATCTTCTTCATCCTCATCAAAACTGTATAGAAGTGAGTCATCTTGCAAAAATGGGTTTAGATATTTATCATCATCCCACAGGATGTTCCCATCAAAGTTAGCTGACTCATGTAAATGCTTTTGCAAGTCTTCCTTGGATGTGCATATCGTCCCACAACTCCAACATTTGTTTACTGCCACCTGTACGTGAAATAAAAAGGATAAGAAATTACAGTGATGCCATACGTAACCACCATACAGTGGGAACGACTTCAATACATTATGTGGCAAAGTTCAAAAAAGCAACTTATCATTTAAATCTTCAATCTAATCTCTCATTTCATTTAAGTGTTATTATATCTAAATTTGTAGTATTTCTTACCACTTTTGATTTGATAGAGGGAGGCTAAATGAAGGCACACGCATTCTCAGACTAGATAAAAACCTAAAGTGATGCAAATTCTAGTCCACAGCATAAATAAATAAGATAATTAATCCACTGAGCAATCCCATGATGCACAGAACACATCAGAAATTTTGAGCATCCCACTAAAGGAAACAAAATAAAAGGGAAAAATACAGACACATTTCACATATACACGCATGCACAACTTAGCTGAGCTCAACTGACAACTTGTGGATATAATCTCTATATACAAAAGGGCTCCCAAAGGTATTCAGTAAATCACCAAATAAACTACAGCACATTGACAATTGCACCACACGAGCATACCTGAGACCTGACGTAATTGATGAGCTTAAAGCACTTGTAAAAATCCAAGCTGTAAGCTTTCTTGATAGCGTAAAAATCGAACAAATGGGTCGAAGCGCAGTGCTGGAAAAGGGAACTGCACGAATCGTACGGGGAGTCACAGAACAAGCACAGCAACTGAGGGTTTGAGCTTTGGTCCTCGAGGGCATCTTCCTCGTCTTTCCAGTCATCCCAATTGTGATCCTCGACCTCTTCCTCGGAGTCGGATGAGTGTGAGGTTAATTTATGTTCGTCTTTTACAAGGTGAGTCGCCATTGGCAATGGCAAATGATGAGTGCAGATAGCGGAATTTTTTTGGTTTAAGGGAAGTTCTGTTTGTTCTTAAACCCTAAAATAAAACCCTTGGCACGGGTTAACAGGGACTTACCCGGTTCAGTACAGTTGGGGGCTTGGACTCATTGGATACATAATTTAGACATGGCAAGGGCGGACCCGGCCCGCCGAACTGGCCCGGACTACGGGTCTTGGAACCGAACCCGTGACAAAATTGGGCCTGTTCCAGTTCTTAGTTTTTCTTTTTATATCCGCCTATTCCGGGTCGGTTCTGGGTCAAAAGGTGGGTCGCGGTTGTTTTTAATTTTTTTATTTTTTTTTTTTAAATTGAACCGTCGGATTGACCGTTTTATATGAACCAGCCGAGCTAATTCCAAGCCTAGTATTTGAGGCCCGCCTACCCGGTGGGCCTGGTCGGGTCGTGAACCGGCCCAGCCTTTGGTCATGTCTAGATACACAACACTCTACAAATAAATTAAGAAGTTGAAATTGCAAATTTGGTCCTTTGTCAGCTAATAATTTAACCATGTTGGTTTGTATTGTTGAATGTTGGTTCTATAATTTAAAAAATTATGGCAATTTAAGTATTTCACAAGTCTATAATAAATATATATATATATATATATATTAAACGAATCACTGCAATTTCTTATTTTTTTGGTAACCAACAATACAACATGTCTTCAAAAAACGTCTATTAAATATATTTCGTCTTAAGAAAATATTATTTGAATATGCACGACAATATTGCAAATATAATTAAAAAACAGAAATTGAAAATCAATTATGAAAATTTTATTCTGATATTTATCACAATGTTACAATTGAATCTTATTTATCAATATTAATAACAAATCACAGTGATTTCTTATTTATTTAGTAACCAACCATATACCAAAATATTTTTTATCGTATCTTCAAAAAATCATTTAATCGAGAGGATTGATTTAGAATCCTTTGATTTATCAATAACTCAACCGTTCCAGTTTTCAAAAACTATAAACCTAATTTCTCAAAATATCAAACGAAATTAATTTAACTATTTATCTTCTATAAAAAAATCAATTTTTATCATTAATAACAATTCATGAGTTTTCCAGTTTTGGTGGGTATTCAGCCATATGTAGATCGAAATATGCATGAGAACATTGCAAAATATAAGTACAAAATCGATTTAGAAATCAATTGCAAAAATCTTGTTGATAGAACCACCACAATACTATAACAAAATTGATATCTCAACATTAGTAACAAATCCAAACAATTTTCTATTCATTTTGTAACGAACCATACACCAAAAATCATCTATTTAAGGATTTCAGAAACATCCATTGATTTTATCAATAACTGCACCAAACTAATTTTTTAAAAATTCATATTGCGATTTCTAATATCATAACAAATCTCATATAAATTAATAAATTAAAAAAAATATATAATATTATGAATTATAAAATAAATAAAATATTATTGATGTCATTTAAAATTAATATTTTTGTTTAACTTCAAATAATATATATAACATTATTGTTCAATTAAGTGTTGGTTATATATTTGCCACAATTTCAACTTTAGCCTAATTTATTTTGAAATCGAAATAATATATTGTAATAAGATATAAGTAAGAGAAGATAGAGAGAGAAGTATTATGTGAGTATTATTAATTGATAATATTTGAATATGTTAAAATTTCATTATCCTTAATTATAAACATGATATAAAATGACAACTATTTTATAACGAGTGAAATAAGTATATAAATCATATATTAAAATATTATATTATCCTACAATAAAATAATAAATAATTATTAAAACTATTTTATAACGAGTGAAATAAACATATAAGTCATATATTACATTATTATATATCATAAAATAAAATAAATTTTATATTAATATTATAAACCATTTTTATAATAATCAATATTCCTTCACTGCTTTAATATATGTAATTTATAACTATTGTCCCGTGCATCACACAATCAATTATAATTATTTCCCCGTACATCGCACGGACTACGTACTAGTCTTTAAATAAGAAGAGAAGTATCAAGTGCAGTGCACTAGATCGGTAATCGCTAACGGTTTTCCAACTCGTCAATCAATTGTCTCGTCTGAGGCCCCAATTTCTCTTAACTAGAACCCTAATTTCTTCAAGAACACAACGTTTCCAAGTTGTGCCATATCCGATATCTCGTTGTTGTGCCATATCCGATATCTCGTTGACATCTACCTTCGATATCCAGTGGCAACAGCCAGAGGAGTAGTTTTAGCAGTTTTTTTTATGAAAACTGTTAGTTTCGATGGAAAAGATCGAAAATGATCAATGGTTCAGAACTGATTACATGACTTTGGCGAATAATAAGATAAACTTTGAGTACCATGTATGAATTCCCCATCCAAAAGTAATGCGTAATCATCGAATACCATAATTGAAAAGCAACATATCTTAAGAGCCAAAACTGGTATTATTCTTAGCAGCAACATACCACGTAGGACATTCATAATTTAGTCCATAAACGACACGAATATAATACAACGATTAATATAATACAAGTTCTTGTTTCTGTATCATTTTAGGATTTACAACGATTAATATAATACAAGTTCTTGTTTCTCTATCATTTTAGGATCAATCGTCTTTCTGTCTTCTTCAGCAATTGGCAGGTTCAAGAACCATGTTCTACTAATCAAGATGGACTATTCTCCGTGCATTGTTGAATAGAGAATAATCGAACTATCGAAACCAACCTGATAACAAGAAAAATGGTGAAATCAGTTATATCAGTACATAATTAAAATAACATCTCAAATAACCATATATTTTACAATGGAAGCCAACTTTCTTAGTTTCTTCGCGAGATTTTTTAACATATTGGTAGATGTTGAAACTCAAAACTATACACCCATGCTCAAAGATTGAAAAGAAAGATGATTCAAATTCAGGATATGAATCGACATGCAAATATTGAATACGTAGAAAATTACAAAATAATATGAATGGAAAAAAATAAAAATAAAAATAGTTGCACCTTAGTAATCCTATCAAGGTTGTTGATAGGTGGGTATAGGCACCCCTGATCCAGCGGTGAGTTCTTTATAAGCATTTTGCAATTGTCGGGTCACGGGACCCACTTTACCATCACCAATTATGCGACCATCAATTTTTACAACCTACGCAATTAAAAGAATAATAATACCAACATCAACACTTGCGACGTCAAAATTTAAAGTGGTAGCGAAAACTACAATTTTTTCAAGGGGTTCAGCAAATTTTAAAGCAGTTGAAGTTTCTTAAAAAAACGTAATAAAACGATTTAATACAAAAATACTTAACTGGACTGAGCTCTCCCATGGTTCCCGTTGTGAAGACCTGCAGCCGAATAAAGAAAGGAGGCTTAAGAAATATCATTGTCTCAACAAACAGATAGAGAAACTTCATTTTGCTTCTCTCTATATAACATGCAATACAGTTAACACAAAAGGATTCGACCTCGTCTGCTGTGTGGAACTCTGACAGACTAATACGCCGCTCGGCCAAAAGAAATTTTTCCTTGACCACAAGTCCCATCACCTGCAAACACAAACATCAGTTTTTGAATGTAAACTTGACACTTTACAATGGATAGTGTGCATTATTGCAAGAGATAAACATTTACAGAGGGCACGTGCCACACATCAAATTTGGATGATAAATAACATATCCTTGAGCAGGTGATAACCAGAATATGTACATGTAAAACAATTAGAAGAGATTCTAATTGGTGAGCAAATAGAAGAGATTCTCTGATGCAATATATGTATGTATGTGTATGTACATATGATTTAATATTATGAATCTCACAGTTTCTCGTGTAATTCCAGGAAGACAATAATCAGCATGAGGCGTTGCAACGCGACCTTTCTTCACAAGAAACTGCAATAGAGATAGGTGAAATTATTACTTAGTAATGACTTGCAAAGGGAATGGGAGTGTAGAAGATCCCAAATGCCGGCTGAGTGAAAGAGCTTACTATATTTGTGGCATTAGTTTCAGAAACATAACCATCTTTGTCGAGCATTATTGCATCATCAGCCTGTGAATTATTCCCTTCTACCTGCACCAAATCAAAATGTCTAAGATAAAATTAAATGAAACTGCCGAAATGTAAGACAATTATTGGACCGAGGTAATTGAATCAACATTAGTACATAGTTCTTCAAGGTCATTGAGTGACCCACACATATATTGTCAAAACAACAAACAAAGAAAAGAATAGTAATGTTTTTGGATTCTAGAAATATCAGGTCAAAATCTTTCTCGCATGCCGATGTAACAAATCAGTTAAAATTGATCCTTACCTTGGCAAGAATGTTGTTAAGAAGGTTGTTGTGGTGAATTTTCGAATCCAAATTCTGCAAAAGACAAAGTCCCGTTCAGAGTTGTTAAATTGCATAGATACGTGCCATACAAATATGAGTCAGGAAATAGTTTGAGCCTATGCATATAAAAGATTCTATGACTAAGGACTTTAAAAAAATTACATTAGGTGAATTACGGCGTGTGGTTGCTGTCACCAAAATTATACCACTTTCATTGTCATAGACTGGCGGCTTCCATTCAGCAAGCACTATAGATGCAGAAAATGAAGCCTGATTATATATGATGAGTTATCTAGCATTTTGAGGAATATCTAGTGTTTAACAATCAGTTAAAGGCATGTAAACAAGTTGAGCAGCCAAAACTTCTTAGGCTTTATCCCTTTCTTGGGAACTTGATTTTATACAACACGGCTTGTGAAGGAGGAGAAAGACTCATTTTGTCAGAGAAAACGAGTACTGTACTGAGATCCAAAAGCTGGCAACACCATCCCGAAAATCTGACACACTTCATGAAATATGCTAAATCATTTCAAGTCACCTATTGGATACAAAATGCACCTTACCGATCAAAGTACATCCATAGAGGTTGAATGCTGGACTCATTCCCGAAGTCACCTATGAAATGAGAAAAAGCACATATGAAACGAAATATTGATGGGAAAAGTTAAAATAGACATGAAATAGCGTGTATGTATTCGTTAAAAAATAAATGAGGCTCATTTTTTACAAGGAAACAGAACATCTTTTGTGATGCTTTTGATGTAGGTTCACAAGTCATGCTATTTCATTTGCTTTGATCTAAAATTTGAGCTGCAGTCCACAAATCACCATTTGGATTTCAGAGGTCACTTGCAAAGAAGCCAAAAGCTAATTTTGAAGCTAGACATAGTCACATACCTTCTTTCCACGTGTCAGAGTCAGTCTAATATGTGCATTATTGAACATTCCATTCCTTATTAGAGTTTTGAAAATAGCTTGCTTCACCTGCAGCATGTGTCATGCGGAATCAGGCTTTTGGGAGTGAGTAAAAAACATATGTTAGTCTGAGCACTACAAATAGCAGAGGCCAGCATTAGGAAGCTTACTACTTGAAAAATATGGTCAGAAGGATTTATGTAACAGATTACCTCGTCTCGCGTTGGCACATTACTAAAAGCCAGAGCTTTTGCCGAGTCAAACAACCTAGAAACAAGAAAATATAGTTATCTACACTACATCAACACGCGCAAGTGCGCGGACATACACACACACACACACACACACAGAGAGAGAGAAAGAGAGAGAGAGAGAGAGAGAGAGAGAGAGAGAGGAATATATAGCTGAACAATCTCCTTGAACAGAAAAACACATGGGTGATAAAGTTTCAAAACCCAAAATCGACTACTAAGCAGCACTTATTCTCAGGTGGGACCACAATAAAGTAATAAACTACAACACCATTTTATGATGTCCTGTTTTTTCTTTATCTCTCATTTCACTAACCTGTCTAAATGTTCCTCAAGTTTGAATATCTTCCCGTCATAAATCCTCAGACCCTCCCAAACAGCATCACCACCTTGGACAACGGAGTCAAGAACGGAGACCTGAAAATGTTGCACGGGCATCATAAACCTTCTCACGGGAAAGAGTAAAAGAAGGAAGCTGGTACTATGTCTTTTGATGGATGGAGAAGTTTTCATGGCCATGCGGTACCTTTGCACTTTCACGAGGCACAATCTCGTTACCAACCCAAGCAAGCAACTTCTCATTGGCAGGTACCGGAAGAGGAGGATTGAAAGATTTTGCTGGGTTCCATCTCACATAGCCCTTAAGCAAGTTATAGAAGGGTAAACTTTGCTCCAGCAAATCATATAAGGTTAATGGAAATGGCTGACAAAAAATACAAATGAGTAAATATGAGGAAATTTGCAGGTTCAATTTCTCATACTAAAAGCACAATTTTTACTTACAGAAGGATACTTCCTTGGTGGTTTAAAACCGGTCGACTTATGTGTGCTTTCATACCAATAGGGGGCCCACATTCCATCAAATGGTTTTGGCCCAGGTTCCCATCTGAAAAGATAACTAATTAGATAAATAAAACAAATTGTAAACAACCAGGCAACATCACTACTTCATTTCTTGGAATATCACGACAAGTTAGCTGACTTGTTGAAATCAAATCAGTCTTATGCTGAACAAAGACAATTTGTTGTGACAATTTGACTTTTCCTCACAGCTGATCTAGCATACTTAAGCTATTTACTTTCGTAAAATCAATTGGCAGAAGTTTCCAACTAATGGAAGCATCTCTAGCACAGTTTACAAACAAGAGGTAAACTTGGAATGACTACACGCTACATTTTGTAACAATTTTCCTTACTTGAGCATAGCAGCCTGGAATGGAATACCAAGATCATCACATAGAGCACGTAAAGTAGCCTGCATACAGAAGAAGATTAGTCCAAACATTTCGTTAGGAAAAGAATATATACATATATATATATATATATTTCATGAGGTCTTTAAGAAGAAGGAATGAAACTATAATACTAAATGAGTCTTCTTTAAGTAGAAGATATGCAGTACTGGTGCTACTTATTTGACATTCGTTTATTTTCCAGCAATATTGTCAAGAGTATCAAACCTTACATATACGCGTATTATTCATACAACCAGGAATCGAAAGGGTATAAAAACAAAGAAGCAAACAACTTCGTATTTGCATGTGATTAAAAAGTAAAGGAAAATGACGCTCAAATTCAGATTATGTTGGGGGCCAAACAATCACATTTTCTGATAATGCAAATAATTTCTTCTCATTTTAAAGACGATAACAGCTAAATATAACCAACTGTGTGTGGAAAAGAGAGGAAAAAGAAAAAGACAAGAGAGAGCTACATAAGGAATATATACAGAGAGAGAGAGAGAGAGAGAGAGAGAGAGAGAGAGCATTAAAGGAATACTATTGGAAATCACAATTCAATAAATATTTGAAACCTCTGGATTTTCTCCAAGTAAATCTGAATCAATGACAGGAGGTTTTACTCCTCGGGAACTCAGTTCACTGTAAATGGAGACCATGCGATCATACCCCAGATCAATTAATAATGGCGGGACAACCTTTTCATAGGATATCTGTGAGAACAAGAAGTAAATTCAGCAAAAGTAAAACTTGCATGAATGAATGCAAATTAGTGTTCTCCTTTTCCCAGAAATATTTCTCACTCCTTCACTATTTTCCATTACTACATAATATCAACTACTAAAACATTAAACTAGCCCTTCCCGAGGTTTAGTATTCATCTAAAATTCTAATGCTAAAACAAAATGAAGAGATATCCATAAAATAGGGTCCAAGCAAGCTAGGCAGTGTGATAATTTGGCAGTGTGATAATTTGGATAATCCTGTATAACAAGTGAATGTGAGTTCATTTACCAACACATCAAAGGGGTTTCTCATCAATATAAAGTGCTTTCCTTTCTTCATCAAGTCATCCGTTAGACCATACAGATGCTGACTAGCCATATGCTGTAGGGAAAGGAAAACGTGAAAATTAAGTTAACTGTGTGTCATCACTTCCTAGATAAAAGAGGAAAAAGAAAAACAAGAACAAGAAGGATCATCTTAGGCATATAAGTAGCATTCACAAGTGGCACGGTAAGTGTTATTACATCGGTAGCAACATAATGTTGACATGAGAAAGTTCAACGATGACAATGTAAGCACATATACAGAAACTGTTTGTCAATGAAGCAAGCAAACTGCCAATTACCTTGCAGAATCTATACTTCTTGCGTCCGGGTCCAAGGATGATCTCCTTGATGACCTTATTCCCATCTGATTCCTGTTCACTCGAGAGATAAAAATGTTAACAGCAAAGAAAGTAACATGATACACATGTTATGATTTTCCATTTCTGTTTTTATCTTCTAGTTCTTTGTGTACGTATTTATTTATTTTCGAGGATGGATGAACAGTAACTGATTTTTCCAAAATTTCCAAAGGTTAAATAGAAAGAAATTCCCAAGAAAGTCGCTAGCAAGTAGCAATGTTATAACAAGCATGAACAACTTCTACTTCATAACAACATACAGATATTCTAAATTCAGGTTGCAATGAGAACACCAAGCTACACTAACTATAGCGTGGAAACTAAACTGAATAGAAAATGAAATTATATTATAAACATGTCTTTCGAATTTATATTGCTTATTTACACAAAGCAAAAATATGTCTCATCATCTAAATATTTGAAATTAAAAATTAGCACTTTGATAGTCCAAGTAATAACTCTGCAAGATGTATGAATGCAGTTCATGGGTATTTCATTCAACTTACCACTTTCGACAGGAGCTCTTCTTTGTAAGGCCTTTCAGCTCCTGTCACACGTAAAAAAGTTGCATAGAGGGGTTCATCAAGCACTTCCACGTCGTCTCTCTGCACAAATCAATGATAAAAGTTTTTGCAACATCACTAGGGGAAAACTCGTATTATCTGTATCTTGTAAATAGTCTTCCCCCAGAACTCTTTCTTTAACCAGAATTTTATACTAACAACATTCATGAAAATGTGTAGAAATTACGCCGAAAATAACTACTCACACTGTCACACTGCTATAAATATAAAACAATGCACTAAAATTTGAAGAGAGTAATATCTGGAGCTACTACATGTTTCAAAAGCTTGAGGTGAAAAAAATGATTAATATAGTTACAAATGTATCATCTCAAAATTGTCCCTTCGATCCAATATCTGGGTTTCGACCAAGATTGAGTGTAAGATTAGCTTGAATTCTAATAACAGGACTGGACTTGATGATTAGCCCACGTCTACTTGCACCATGTGGACATTGTTTAGAGTGGAATTTTGGACTTCAATTACCCTTATTAATTACTGAAAAAGATTTCACCCCAACTTCGTAAATCAAGCATTTCCGAGCATTTAATTTCCCAAGATGATATGAAAAGAAAAACTCATCATTGAAAAAGTTCCATTTGTCTTTCGTCGATTAATGCATGTCGACAACTAACCACAAAGGCTATCCTATTTGTCGTAAAGCAGAATTCCTTGATGTCAAACAATAATGAATCGCATGAGCGTAATGCAGCTCTTTCGCGTAAACTATTGGATCTTAAGTGGGATCAACTGAAGCCAGTTGCATTACAAGCTTCTTTGTTTCTTATATTTTTAGTCAAGTTGTGTTACAAGTTTTAGTAATAACCTTGGGTCAATCAATCAAATATAACAAACACATATTCCATAACCAACAGTCTTCCATAGTTCCATATCCTACCATGAGACTACTCCACACAACCAAGACGAATCAAAATAGTAGAACTTGCCACCATTATCAACAATCACACAGTAATTATCGATTTTACCAAAACAAAAAAACATATGACACTTAAAATTATATAAGCGCATAATAAATCTAAAGAGCCTCCACACAAAAGTTCGAGGAAATTCAAAATATATATACATATAAGGAAACACCATGAGAAACAAAATTAACTATGTAGAAACAATGAAATAAAAAAATCACAAAAANTAAATACACCAAAATCACAGGCAACTCAGGTTGACAACAAACTCGAGCTAGTACCTGAGCAAATGAGTACATGAGGCTAGTGCTCGTTGACCTCGGCGAGCACCACATGTGGATCACCTCCACTTCGCCGTCCGCCGCCGCCGCCATAGCCGGTGCCTGGAAAAGGGGGGAAACGAGAAGAAAAATAACGGCGATTCAATTTTCTGCTTCGAATCGAAAAATAGCGTGTGCGGTGTGCGCGATTGTGCTTTAGAATGCCATATTTAAAGCATAGCTGGAGTCTGGAGATAACGATGGGGATAAAGATGAAATTGATTATGAGTTATCACCAAACTTTTTTCCATTTACAGTGTCATCAGCTTCATTTTGCAGTTGTCTCCCAAGTCCAATGAATGCTGACAGAGAAGTGTTTTTAATTTGGCTTTTATTCACAAACTAGTGTATATCCCGCGTCATGCACGGAAGAGTTCATATTTTAAATATTTTTTAAATTTTATTTTAAATATAATTATTTATATTTTCACTTCTCGTCTATTATGAAAATAAAATAAATACAATCAATGAAAAATATATATTATTAAATACTTTTCTTTATACAATATTTTTTATTTAAGGAATATTATTAAACCTTACGGTTTTGATTTGTTTTTTTTAAATCAATAATCCAAAATATATGATTGTTAACGTACAAAAAATAATGGAAATAATCCAGAATTTAAAGTAAAGCTATTTTTTATTATTTTACAAATAAAAATCTTCCAAATTTTTTTTAATTTCAAAAAAAAAAATTGACAAGTTTGATAATGAGTTAAATCAAGTTATACAAATGATTAAATAGTTAAAATGTTATATTAATTATATTTTAAGAAATTCGATTATATAAAAAGGGGTAAAAAATATTATACTAATTAGTTTGTTAGGATTGTGATTATATGGAAGTTAAAATAAAATGAAATGTAACCAAAAAATTTGTTCGTGGTCTTTTCCTTTAAATGTTCGAATTTAAAAATTTAGTAACCAAATTTACATTATATCACGTAAGGAAAAAAATAAATAATAAATATTTATTAGAGAGATAAATCAATAATATTTATCACTTAGATAATAAATAATAAATATTTACATGTAAAAAAATAAATAATAATATATTTAAAAATATAAGTCAGAATTTCAAATAAAGTAAAAGGAGGGATAACTCATTTTTTAAAAAAAGTTTCTAAATATTTAATATATTGATAAGTATCTCCATAAGAATAATCATACCATTTTA